GAGAGAGAGAGAGAGAGAGAGAGAGAGAGAGAGAGAGAGAGAGAGAGTGTGTGTGTGTGTGTGTGTGTGTGTGTGTGTGTGTGTGTGTCTTATTCATCAAGCCATTCCCATAGTAAGAAATAAGTCCTTCCCCTCACCTCCTCATGAGAAACTCGAGAACTTTGGTACAAACATGTGATTGCTGAGGTCTCTTCGTGGAGCACCAGTAAACAAAAAGTTTAAACATTTATCCAAGTGAAACTAAAGGAGGTGTAAACACTATTGTTGCATCAGTCATCAGGAGGATTTAGTGAAAGTCACTGATGAATTAACTTGTTAACATTGTGAACTTTATTTTGTATTTGTGGGCTTGTTAAATCCTGATTGTTTTTAATATGGTATTTCGTCAGTACTTTCAGAATAAAATGAATGAATAAACAGACTTTTGTTACTTCTAAACTCAGGAAGTTTGTAAATAGGACCTTTGATAATCTTATTTGTATAGAAGACAGTGAGTGCTGATTACACTACTACTGAGAAATTTGGAGCCTCACCTCCAAGAATCTTCAGCTTTTCATTATTGCTTCTCTTCTCTCTTTATTTACAGCCCAGAATACTCTGAACAGGTGTATATTCTTTGTAGTTCTTTCCACCTTAAAAACAAAAGAGGACTTTCTGTTTTTGTTCATGAGTATCTAATATCCTTTAGGAGAATTTTCCTCATTTATCTTCTAGGAAATAATAAAGAATTCTTGATAGATTTTTTACCTAGTTAGAGGGTATTGAGTCCACAAATAGAGAAAAAGCATACAAGTGATACAACTAAAACTAGGACAAATGCCAAGTTAGAGCAGATACTTTTTAAAAATTTTGTGAAGAAATGCTTATTGTAGAAATATAAAATATATAGAGGAGTATGAAGAAGGAAATGAATTTGCTATCATCCTCAGACCTGGAAATAGCTATGGTTACTTACAATTTTTTTTAATGTACTGTTGTCCCTCAGTATCCATGGGGGCTTGGTTTCAGGATCCCCTGCAGATATTAAAATTTGAGGATGTTCGAGTCCCTTATATAAAATGGTGTAGTAGTTTTGCGTAATCTTTGTACATCCTTCCATATACAGTCATGGGTTGCATAATGACATTTTGGTTAATGGCAGACCACATAAATGACATCAGATTTTGGTACCTGTTTTTACTGTACATTTTCTGTGTTTAAATACATAAATACTTAACCATTGTGTTACAGTTGCCTACAGTATTCAGTAGAGTAACATGCTGAGCAGGTTTGTAGCCTGGGAATCATAGGCTATACCTCATAGCCTAGGTGTATAGTAGGCCGTACTATCTAGGTTTGTGTAGCTACACTCTGTGATGTTTGCACATGGATGAAGTTGCCTAATGACACATTTCTAAGAATGTACCCCAGTTGTTAAGCAATGCATGATTATATTTGGAATCGTTTCTTGATTACTTATAATACCTAATACAGTATAAATAGAGTATAAATGATTACTATACTGAAATTTGTATTTTTTTAAAGTTGTTGTAGGGTTTTTCTGTTTTTGGCTTTTAGGTTTTATTTGAGACAGGGTCTTGCTGTCAACCAGGCTAGAATGCAGTAGAACGATCACAGCTTTGATCTTCCAACTTAAGGGATCATTTCACCTCAGCCCCCTGAGTAGTTGAGATTACAGGCATGTGCGTCCACGTCCAGCTTGCTTTTTTTGTAGAGACAGGATTTCATCATGTTGCCCAGGTTGGTCTTGAACTCCTGGGCTCAAGCAACAGTCTACCTCAGCCTCCCAAAGTGTTGGGATTACAGATGTAATCACCAACACCCCCAGCCTGAACTATTATTTTTAATGAGTTTTTCCCAAAGTATTTTCAGTCTGCAATTTTTGGAATCTACAGTTACAGAACCCATAGTCATAGAGGGCTGACTGTATATATCTTTTGATTAATTTAAATCCTTTAATTAATTTAGATGATGCTGAATATTTAGTTATATATTCTTGTGTTTGTATTTCTCATGCAGTTAAATTTTTCCCAAAACATTATTTTCAATATTAATATTATGCCGTATGAGTGTAGCAAAGTATTCTCACACAGCTTCCAATTTTCTCCTGTTCCAAACAGCTTTTAGGGAAAAATCTGTACATGACTGATTACTTTCTTAGGATTGATTTATAGAAATTAATTTACTGGATTAAAGGTATGAAATTTATTTTAAGTTTGTACATAAATGTTGGTAACTTCTAAATAGGCATTTTAAAATTGTCTTTATCATTCACTGTGTATAAAATTCATGAGTATTAAAAAAAAAAATTCATGAGTATTAGGAAGAGAGCAGGCCGTCTGGTTGTCTGAGGCAATTGTTCCTCCCTTGATGGTGTGACACTAATTCAGACAAATTTGCCCAGAGAACCAGAATTAGAAAGACTTTTTATCATACTTGAAATATTTTATAGAGTAATTGCTAAAGAAAGCTTTTTTGATAATTGTTTAAAGCAGCCCAAATATTAAGGTATACCAGTGGACTAAGACAGTGATTACGACAGCATTCCAGTTGGAAGGGGAATAACAACTACTCAGACATTGCGAACAAATTAATGCTGTTATTGCCTTTTAGTTTGATTTGGTATGTGTTTAGTAACTGTGCTATGTTCTGTATGTGGCTTTTACAGCACTAGAAAATGTAGTATTTAAAAGCACAGAAGGATTGTAATGGTTGTCTTTATAGACAAGGGATATAAAGGAATCCAGGAATTCACAGATAGTTTTAAATTAAGAGTTCATTTTTTGTCATTTATATATGTTGCTCTATTTTTGAAGAATATTAATACACTGTTTTAAAACTTTAGATTTGCGTATACTTGAGTAACTGCATATACAAAGTATGTGCAAGTATGAAAATGCTTGTTACAGCTGCACAGTGTAGAGGGAAAGCAGAAGCATAGTGGTGCCTTTTATTGTTCTTTCAATTTCAGTGATTCTAATTATAGAAGCTTACATCACCTTGGTTGATGATGATGGTTTCTCTCTCCTTCTTGGTTTTTCTTCCTCTATTACTCCCTAAGGATGGATCCTCTGTCATAGTGCATGTGTGTCCAGCTGGTAGCTGTGACAGGTTTTCCACAAAAATGGGAGTGATCAGTTAGTGGATGTATATGACAGTATGCTGAAGCACACTGTTTCTTACAAAAGAAGAGAGGAGTGTTGGTACTCTTGCCTCCCTCCCTTCATGAAGGCTGAGGAATAGGTATGCAGTTTGAAAGCAGAAGTCCTGAGGAGCACCAGTAATTAGAGTTAACTGTGTCTGATAACTGCAAAGATGCATTTCAGATGTTCAGGTTAAACATGGGGGCATAGGGGTGGAAGAGATTGTTATGATCCTTTGAAAGGGCTTGTATGTGACCTCTGACCATTGCAGTCATTTATTCATGTATTTTCCAAAAGACTTAAAGTGTTTTCACTATGTAAATCAGTACAATTTAAGTTTATATTTCAAAGACCAAACACAACTAAAACACAGAAATGAATGCTCTTATATTTTGTAAAACTATAGAATTTTTCTTTTGTTCTTTAACTTATTTGGAGTTTGACTTCTCTAAATTGTGATTATGATATTTCACTGCAGATTGGGAATAAATTATATTAATAAGTATAAATAAAATGCCTGGGTTAGTATAAATCCAGGTTTTGTTATTAGGTTTGTTTTTCATAATGCCTAGAATGTATATTCTCTTATGACTTGCCTCCATCTGTGGTAACCTTTCCCTGCCTTTCTTTACAGTGTTGTCACATATTGACATAAAAGATAGGTTTATGGTTAGTTTAGTAACCATCAGAACCTTATATTTGCCTTTCTAAACATATGATTTCAAGTATTTCAGTTTGTATTTTTGTTTAAATAATATACACAGTTAACAAATTTTAATAACTGTGACATTTATACTTTTATATAAGTATTTTGTAATGATTTGAAGCTTTGCAGAGTCAACATACATTGCTCTATTTTATAGTAGTCCAAAAGACCTTTCTAAAGCTAAATATTTCATTAATATGGATTAGCATCATGGCATTTTATATGCAGGGGAGATGTGTTTGTAAGTGGCTGTCCTGTAGTTATTCTTAGACAGTATGTGGATGAGGACATTCTCCTTTGCTGAACTTAATTCATTTGAATTGATAAGATAATGAAATGAGATTGTGATAAAATTCTAAAAGTGATCCAAGTGACAAATGGGTTATTCAACTAGTCATTTATTTTAGTTATTTGATAAATTACTATTCTCTTCAAAGGATGTTTATTTCTTTGTTCAGTAATTAAAAGGTGAAGTCATTATTTCATCAAAATGCTGGTGGATTCCCACGTTGACTCTGGAATTTGGCCTGTTTCTTTTCTTGGTATTGTTTCACAGGGATATTTTGCATGACAGGTTTACTATACAGTTCTCTGGAATCAAAGATACTATGAGATGATTGGTAGAACAAGGAAAAGGATGATGTCATCTTCATTTACAAGCCAAACTAAAGGAAAAGAGAGTTTTGTTCCTTTACTGAGTTGGTGTTTACTACAGTAGGTCTAACATATGGCACTAGTGGATTGCATTTAAAAAAAACTGTGCAGCCGTTTTTTAAAGCAGCTAAGAAGAGATGGCTGTCTCCCTTGCTCAGCTTGAGGTCCTTCTTTGTGTGTTTATTAGCATGATTTATAAAAAGGGGGGAAAGGTTTGCATTAAAATTTTGCTTCTTGATTTGCCTTTAATATATTCTGTTGGTACTATACATGAATATAATTACTGTCTGTTGTTTGAATTCTTAGTATTCTTGAATCTTGCTACTAATATTTGTGTGTAAAATACTCATCTTTTAGAAATTTATCTTTAGCGAAAGTTGTCCTCATGTACATACAAAGTACCTACTATCATTTTTCTATTTTAAAGAATGATTAAGATTAGATTTTAATCAATGTGCACTTGATACTTAATATTCCAAGATGTACATGTGTGTATATACCAAGATGTAATGGTGTACATGTGATTTATTTCCAAGAATATTAAGTATCAAGTGGAATTCCATCTCATGTATGATTGATTTAAAATAAACTGAAACAAAGAAAATGGTGCTTGAAAATCAACCTGTATAAATATTCCATGTTTTATGTTCAGAAAACTAGTCATGCTTGTTTGCATTTGTGAGATTTAATTTTATATTTAAATGCAGGTATTGTGTATTTTGGTATTGTGTCTTTTGGAATTTGGAATTTTGGCAGAAAAACTTAGTTTTTAAAAGCTTTATGAAAATCTAAATAATTACATATTTTGAAAGCATAACTTGTCTTTGTTCACAATTATACTTAGTTTAACTGAAATTCTAGATTTATAAGTAGCAGCGTAATTCAGACTGGCAGCATAATGTTGTTCAGAAAGTTACTCAGACTTTGCTGAAAGATACTGCACGAACTTATTCTTTTTGTGCCTAATGACAAGATGTTTCTTCTGCAGTCAGTGAAGTCCTTTGTTAAAATACCTGTCTCCCAGGTAACAACTCCTCTTATGTTGCACAGCCCGTTTTCCCCAAAATAAAATTGTTAGGTGAATAAAGCAAAATAATTCTATTGCTTTGATTTGTTCACCGATTGTTATTCTCATAATGTTGCTGCCTGGAGGTGCAGCTAACTATATTTTACTATTGGGAACTATGTCTTACTTTGGCCTTTAGAAGCCACCATTGCAAGCTTAGTTGGAGTATCTTCTGCCTTGTAGCAGAAGCATGAAGAACAAGGATGGGTACCAGTAGTATTGTGTTTTCAGATGGAAAAGGGTGTGGCAAAATTAAAATCTTTTTCTATAATTTCTACCAAAAAGGGGGGGCAGCAATTTTTTTTTAGTTCACACTCACTTTGGAAGCAAGTTTAATCATCTTCTTTGATTTCTTCTGAGTGAGTTTTGCTGGCTTCTTGTCTTTCTAGGAATTGAGCATTGGGCTACAGGAAAGTACCATGTTGTGTAGGTGATTCTTTCTCAAAGGAGTTGGTGCATGCTGCAACTATTGCTGTACATGTGATTTTTTTCCAGCTTTCCTTTGCAAAATGAAATTTATTTCCATTTAAATTTACTATCTACATACAAATCTTAGTATTAGTTTGTATATTTTTAATGTTAGAGTTCAGAACAGTTATTTGGTAAATAGCAAATTTTGCAAGTAGAAACCTCTTGTTAACAAATACATGTGACATTTGAGAACCTAGGCTGCCTTATCTATTTGGAATGCAATAGTATCTTAACAGAGCTTATTATTTTACCTTAGGACAATACTGCATTATATTTGAATAATAATAGGAAATATAGCTTCCCAAATATAGCTGTGTATCATTGTACAGAATTAAAAATCAAAATGGATTTTTAAAACTGTTGAGTAGAAAGGGTGCTTAAGCCAATTTTTTTTCTTAAAGAATTTAGCTTGCTGACATGTCTCATGGAAGGGAGGATTGGGGTTGTGGATATGCTGTGTGTGTGTGTGTGTGTGTGTGTGTGTGTGTGTGTGTTTTCAATAAATTGCTCTTTGGGCTACATCTGCAGATACAGTAGCCAATTGATCTAATGCAGTTTCTGGAGGCTTTCTGTACAGGTGATGTCATCCTTTTAGCTCTATTCTCCTCCCACTCTCTTTCCTTCTTATTAGATATTTCATCTTGCTGCAGAGCATAGAATCAATAGGAGCTTCTCCTTAGGGAACTGCTGTGAAACAGGCAAGGACAGTAGGAATTAAGACAGTAACATTCAGTCTTGCTTTAGCAAAAGGTATAGTGGTTTTGTACCATATTATATAAAAAATGTTTAACCAGAAAAGCCAGACTTAACAACAGTGCTGTTTTACTGATGCATTAGAACAAGAAGCAGTGCTGCAGAGCTGTAAACAGTGCATGTGAATAGAGAAAATAGTTAGAATTTTGGAGATTCTTAGGCATTCTACAGAACAAACCTGTTACAGCATATATTATCTAACTGCTGTTTGCTCTAACTGCCATCTGCTCAGCGGTTTTTTTTTTTGTTGTTGTTGTTTTTTTAAAACCTCTGGTGGTTAAGAATAAAGAAGAAAACTTTAATCTTCAGGATACAATGTTTATTTTTGATGCAGAAGAATCACTGCTGCAGTGTTTATTCTACAAAATGAAATAAGTTGAAGAAAAGGCAAAGCTGTATTACAGAGAGGAAAGATTTCACAGAATCCAGGAACACAGATTTGGTGCATGTTGCCTGATTTGCTTTGATTGATACTGTATTAACTGTTGTGCTGCCACTCTGCATGTCTATGCCAGGTGCTTGAGGCCGTATGTATATGTCTGTATATACCGAGCCAGATATGTAAACATCTTCATTTACTGTGATTTGCTTGTTAAAGTGAATGTTTTGATTTAGAACAATACTTTACTGAAAGCTCCTGATTTCAGTTTTTAAAGGGGTTTGGAGAGGCTGCCTTTATATAAACACTGTAGTGGTACGTGATTTGTAAAAAGAAACTTAGCAGAATTTTGTCACCATACTCATCACTGTGGCTCTGGTTTGAAAAGGAAACTACCCTTTCCAGCCTAGGAAATGGCTTTTCTTGTTCGCTGTTATGCCAATTGTCTTCAGCCATGGGCCTCCAAAGTAAGTAATTGTTATTTTCTTTGTGATTGATTTAATCCAGTTATCAAATTTTATTTTGAATTGTAAATGAGCTTTATTGTGCTGTTATAGTTTCTAAACTTTAAAAATAAGAGCTACAAAGTAGTCTTTATTGCCATTTTGTTTTTAAATTTAAAGAAACCTCTAAAACATTCTAATATGACCTCTAAGAAAATTTGAAAGATGCCTTTTAAACCTATAGACTTAGAATGCAGTGCATTTGAGATATACTCTCTTCAGACTGAATTTCCTTTGATAATGACTATTGCTGTGTACTTATTAGTGATCATACTCTAACTTGCCTCATTTTCTTAATTTAGTTTAATTTCTAGATTATGACATTTTTCATTAATATGCTGTCAGATAAATTGTGATTGAATTGTGCTGTTTTACAACTGAATTGTGCTGTTTTACAAAGGTTAGTTGATAATTCTTAAGCAGTGAAGTAATATGAAGAAAATACTCATGAAAATCAGTTATGTAAAAATATTTAAATAATGAGTCTAAGTATTTTCAAAATAGTAAACCATTAGCTGGAGACTATTTAAGGTCATCTATCATACTTGTCTTTTTTAAATAAACATAATAACTCACAAAAAAGCAAAGTGCTGTACAACATTCCAGGCTAGGTTGTAGGAAAATAAAACTAATTCAGCAAGTTTTATTACAGATAGTGGCTATTTATATAGTCTGTAATTTGATGCCACTCAAGTTATCTTTCCTGTCTCATGTATGTATTATAAAACAATGTTTTTTCAAAACATTTAAATTATAACATTTAATATGTTAAGATTTTTTCTGGTTCTCTTGCATACAGACAGGCACAATAGAGACACTTCTTCCTGTGGTCTGAAATCATGTCTTTGTTTCAAGGTTGTCCTGTTGATTGTGACTAAGGGAGAAATGGTATGATACCATCATGGTGTTTTTCTGTTTTATCTGGCCTAGCTCATTGCATATTTTTCTTAAAGGTAGCTTCTGGAAAGACAGTTAAATTCACTGTCGATTTGGCAAACAGGTGACTGAAATGTAAAGAGTTGAAAAGAAGCCTAGGTACACAATGTGTTTGTGCTATTACCTGGCTAAGGCATAAATGGCTTTTTTAGTGAAAATGCTACCTATATGGCCCAAGCATTGCTGATGCTTGATAGCCGCACTATACTACAAAGGTTTAAACCACTTGTAGAAAGGGAGTGAGGAAGTCTAGGTAAAAAAAAAAAACAAAAACTTTAAAGAAAATTAAGAATGAGATATAGGGATTGTTTTCTAAGGTAACCAGCAAAATAAAATAGCCTTTGGAGTTAGCCAACTTTTGATCCCAGATTTAACAAATATAGAAGAGTCAAAGAAAAATTTAACGATCAGCTTCTGAGGTTTCATGAAATGCCAGTAAACATATGAGCAAAATTATGTGATTGGTACTCTACTGTGTAAATCAAGTATTTGTAAGAGTACATATCCCTGTCCCCCTTCTCTCGTGTTACTATTGATGGAATTTTGACTCTGAATTGTAATTAAACACATAAAACTTAGAAATTTTTTATACTTCTACCTTTGGTTTTTCAGTACATTTTACTGGTTTTCTTCATATATTTTTGCCTATGCTACTAGGTACTTGCATTTTACTACTTCTCAATTCCTTAATTTTCTTGCTAAAATAAATAGTCATATTAGCATGATTCTTTTGGGGGTTGGGAAAGAATGAATCCTAAGTCCTTGTATGTTCAAAATGCCTGCCTTTATATTTACTCTTAAGATAATTGTTTAGTTGGATATAAAATAAAATAATAAATCCAAAGCCTTTTTCCTTTAGCACTTTGAAAAAGTTACTACACTGTCTTCTGGCCTCCAGTGTTGCTGATGAGAAGTCTGAGCTCATTATAATTTTTTTTCCTTTATTAAGTACATTTGTTAGTAGTTATGTTTTGTTTTGTTATTTTACTTATTTATTTATTTTTTTAAAGAAATGTGGTCCTCCAGTGTGGCCAACATGGTGAAACTCCATTTCCATTAAAAATACAAAAATAAATTAGCTGGGTGTGGTACCACACATCTGTAGTCCCAGCTACGCAGGAGGTTGAGGTGGGAAAATCGCTTGAACCTGGGATTCAGAGGTTGCAGTGAGCTGAGATTGCACCACTATACTTTAGCCTGGGTGGACAGGGCGAGACCTTGTCTCAACAAAAACAAAAAAACAAACAAACAAAAAAAAAAAAACGAGGTCCTGCTCAGTTGCCCAGGCCAGAGTGCAGTAGTGTCATCATGGCTCACTGCAGCCTTGAATGCCTGGGCTCAAGGAATCCTCCCACCTCAGCCTCCCACACAGCTGGGACCGCAGATACACAGCACCATCCTTGGCCAATTTTCTAATTTTTTTTTGTACAGACAGGGTCTCTCCATCTTGTCCAAGATGGTCTCAAATTCCTAGACTCAAGCAATCATCATGCCTTGGCATCCCAAGATGCTGGGATTACAGGCATGAGCCACTCTGTCCAGCCTTTGTTGTTTGTTTGTTTGTTTGTTTGTTTGTTTTGTTGTTGTTGTTGTTGTTTTTTAAACTTTAATGGTATGAAGTTTTGCCCTGGATTGCCTAATGTTTTGTTTCCCCTTATTGACCCTTTTAGAGTACTCTCTCAAGCTGAAAATTCTCATTTTCAGTTGTGAGAAATTCATCTTTTTGTTTGTTCGTTTTTGACAGTCTTGCTCTGTTGCCCACGCTGGAGTGCGGTGGCATGATCTTGGCTCACTGCAACCTTCCCCTCTTGGGTTTGAGCAATTCTTCTGTCTCAGCCTCCTGAGTAGCTGGGACTGCAGGTGCCTGCCACCATGCCCAACTATTTCTGTTTTTTCATTAGAGGTAGGGTTTCACCATGTTGGCCACGCTAGTCTCAAACTCCTAACCTCTAATGATCCACCGCCTCAGCCTCCCAAAGTACTGGAATTACAGGTGTGAGCTACCACATCTGGCCTCTTGTTTTTTAATTGCAACTCTTTTATTTTTTCCAGTCTCTCTAGAGAGAGATTAAATTGAATTTTTGAGGTTTCTTTCAGGAGGTTAACTTCATTTAAGTGGTTGTTAGTTGGGAGCTCACCTTCCTGATCTGTTAGAGTTGCTTGCTTGAGGTGAATGTTGACTGGGTGGAGAAAGCATTACCACTTTGGCTTCTGTTTGCTTCTTTGAGGTGCTCCTACAGTCGCTGGTCACTGGTTGATTTATCCACAGCTAAAACTGCAGGTCATTTCTTTGCCCTTAACTACTGTACCTATCCACAGTACTTGATACTGTACCTATCCTCCGCCTCCTGGGTTCTAGCGCTTCTGCTGCCTCAGCCTCCCGAGTAGCTGGGATTATAGGCATGTGCCAGCACACCCAGCTAATTGTGTATTTTTAGTAGCAACGAGGTTCCTCTATGTTGGTCAGGCTATTCTTGATCTCCCGACCTCAGGTGGTCTGCCCGCCTTGGCCTCCCAAAATGCTGGGATTACAAGTGTAAGCCACTGCACCCAGCTGATCACTTACTCCTTAACAGACTTTCTTCAGACTAAAAGTCCAAGTCTTCACCATGACCTACCAAATAGTGGGTGCTCTCTCTTCTACCTATATCCTACAATACTCCTCGTTCACTCTCACCACTCTGACTTCCTTTCTTGTTTTCAGACTTGCCAAGCATTCTTAACACTGATTTTCTCCTAAATTATAGTAATTTACTTTTAATAAGCTCACCGTTAAAAATGAATATTGATTGAAAGCTTCTTTATGGTTTCAAAAATATTAAAGTGGGAAGAATAATGTGTCTTATAATTGAAAAACTTTTTAATACTTACAAGTTACATCATTTAGAAACATCCTTCCAACTCTCATCTTTTAGTAAAAATAATGAGTTAGGAATGTTCCGTGTTTCTCCTGTGGTTTCACATACCTCAGGCATAGTGCTGTGATCTCTTGTGTGTATACCCAGGCTTCCTAAGATTAGATATAACTATTTCCTTTATGGCTTTTGAGAAATGGTAAACTCCATAAAGCAGGCTCCATACTGCTTTTTAGACCTTAGAATATATTTTTAATTTTCTCTCTCTGTCACCTGATACTTTTCTTCATATGTCACTCTCTCTACTCCTAGAATGTCTCTTATAATACTGGTGGCTTTTAATTTTGTAAGGCCTCCATCATCTTGTACTTCAACTAGTGTCTCCTGTCTCTTGTGTTTATCATTTTCTTCTATTTCACCTTCTCTGCTTCCAGAGTAATCCTAAGAGTAGGTACCCCAAGAGAAATGTTGAGTCATAAGGTACATATATTTTGTTTTAGTTTTTGGTTTTTTGAGACAGAGTTTTACTCTTGTTGCCCAGCTGGAGTGCAATGGCGTAATCTCAGCTCACTACAACCTCCGTCTCCTGGCTTCTAGTGCTTCTCCTGCCTCAGCCTCCCGAGTAGCTGGGATTACAGGCATGTGCCAGCACACCTGGCTAATTGTGTATTTTTAGTAGCGACAGAGTTTCTCCATGTTGGTCAGGCTGTTCTTGATCGCCTGACCTCAGGTAGTCCGCCCGCCTCGGCCTCCCAAAATGCTGGGATTACAGGCATGAGCCACCACACCTTGCCTATATATTTTAAATGTAACCAATCTTACATTTGCTCCCCCAAGTGGCCACTCCTCAAATTGTTGTCCAAAATGGTTACACCAGTTTATACTACCATTAGCAGTTTATGAGAATATTGTTTTCCTCCATAGCCTTTCCTGCATTTTGTATTATCAAACTTGCTATTTACCATTTTGATGGGGAGAAAATGTATTTGTTTTAGTTTTTATTTATCTGATTGCTTGCAAGGGTAACATTCTCTTCCAGCTGTTTTTTTTTTCTTCTTGCCGTTGTGACCTAAGTGGCCTTATGTTGAGATGACAGAGCCAAAACACCTGGACAGTTTGGATATCTGAGTCTCTGTATACTAAGGCAGTTGACCCAAAAGTTGCCTATACACT